AGGGGGCGACGATGATTTACGAGCACAGGATTCATTTGTGCGTTTGCCCGGCTTAACGGATGCTTCACAAAGAAGCGCGCGTACAATCTGTAAACGTGCCACATGACAGATACTAAATGAGAAGGTTTATTAAGAGAGGATTACTTTCAAGGGACACTAAATTCCTTGTTCTCCCAAAGGCCACCATTTGACGCGACGGGCGAGTCTGCGGAATGGTAAATATTTAAAGATGTTGAATGACCAAATCCTGCTTGCATATCAGGGTACTGTAGGTGTTTTCAGTGGAAGACTCTGTTCGAAATTGTCACCACGAGTCATTTGCATTCTGAGTGTAAATTGTTTTTTGGACCTGGCGAAATTTGTGTCGCGAGACCCCCAACTCGAAAATCCATTATGAATGATAATATTGGCTTCGACAACCTTAGGCGTGCAGTTGAATAAGTTGCAGTTATTTGTGATTCCACTGCGGGACAAAGGCCTCCCCACGCCGTATACCGGTTATGCAGTCTACTTCATCACGTGTTGGTGAACGGAGTTGCGGAAAGGGGATGTTCAGATATCACTTGCCACTGATGTGAGCCGTGGAACCACAATAAAATTCTGGTAGCCCAGAAACCCACTATTCATCTTAGTGTGGGGTCATTCTCTCCCCATTATGGCCGTGGGGCAGCGGTGTAGCTATCGAGTGTGCAGGCGGTGCAACTGCACTGTGGCCCACAGACTGGAAGGGCCCAGGCACCGGGCTGACCCACCCCTACTCTTTCTGACCTCGTGCCCCTACTGGACATCTGTGAAAAAAGAGCATCATAGCTCATCGGATTCCTCCGCTTGCAGTCTAAATAAAGATGCTGATTTCGATCCAATTGCAGGGCTGATGGTCGCTTTGACCCAGTCACCATGAGGCAGTAGCCAGGTTCATAGTGCAGTGCGCAAACCTCCATGCAAACTGCCCCCCGCAGTGGCGAGATGTTAACTACGTCATCTGGTATACTGGAGGTCGTGGCGTTCGATCCCGACCCTGACGCCTGCTGTATATTTGGAGTTTGCATGTCTCTCTCTCATCATTATCAGGGTGGCTAGGAGATATTAACTACATCGCCTGGTATACAGGAGGTCGGGGGTTCGATCCCGACCCTGACGCCTGCTGTATATTTGGAGTTTGTGTGTCTCTCACTCATCATTACCACGGTGGCTAGGAGATGTTAACTCCCTCACCTGGTATACCGGAGGTCGTGGGTTCGATCCCAACCCTGACGCCTGCTGCTGTATATTTGGAGTTTGCATGTCTCTCTCTCATCATTATCACGGTGGCTAGGAGATGTTAACTCACTCACCTGGTATACCGGAGGTCGTGGGTTCGATCCCGACCCTGACGCCTGCTGCTGTATATTTGGAGTTTGCATGTTTCTCTGTCCGTGGTCGTGTGGATTTGTCTCTTCAGGTCCTCCAGTTTTTCCCTCCACATTTCGAATGAACACGCGTTGAGAGTATTTGGCTGCTACAAAATTTCCACTTCATTGAGCTATCATTTGTGACCAGGTCGCTACTTAAAATAAGCTGTATAGCTCAGTGGGCTTTATCTGGTAAAATACATTTTTTTTTTAATAAGACACTGTTATGTATCTGAACACTACGTGTTCTATACGAGACATATGCACTTTTATTGCTTTCCATATCTGGTTATAGTGCAACAGGTTTGAGTAAATTGAAAATATCGTGTAAATGTAGCTCGACTGAAATCGACATTTAAAATAAAAATAATAACAACGGGACAAAAGTCACAATCGCTAAAACAACGACGGCAAAAACTGAAATGAAATCACGTCGAATGCTGAAAACCACGACGATCGATGCCCGATTTGGCATTGAGAGCAGGAAGCAGTTGAAAGAGACATGACATTCTGAAACAAAAGCGAATTTGAAAACATTACGACAACACAAGTGCATTTCAAAATACAGACTCATCGCGTTTTGTAACCGACGTTGCCCATGAAGCGTACAATGTGTGACACGCAGAGAAATCCAAAACTCCCTTCGATGCTGAAATGGTCCATGAGCCCAAAGCAGATATTTCACTTGTCGGTACCACCTGAGATGGCACAACTTGATAGTGATTCCAAAATGTGGAAAAACATATGAATTAGACGAGAAATATGATACATTTTACATGGTGGCGTTCGTGCAAATTGCATCTCAAAATCGCAAAGGAGGAACCACAAACATGAGCCAGAAGGCTGCCAGGCAATGAGCCGGCGCCAAAAAACTGCTCTGCAGTTCTCTATATATTAAGATGCTTTAAGCCAATCAGTGAGTGTTTATTATGCACACGGGAGGAAACCGGAAAACCCGGTGACAACCCACGCATGCGAGGGGGCAACACTCTATCCCCATACAGAGCCAGGGTTTGACACCTCCTCGATGCCCACCGGGAAGGGAGCCTCGCGACATTTCGTCGTTTGTGCGGTGATCCACCAATCCTGACTGCCTCTACAGCGCTGGATGACTAGGCCACAGGCATAGCCATCACTACCACCACCAACCGGTTCCTGTTTATTTATGTGGTACTGCAGTGAATAACGTGACGGCAATTTGAAACGAGCGATGGTTATCAAACAATTTACGCTCATCATGGGTTAGAAATAATCCCGTTCCACTAAAGCTTTGCGACCGTAGCTTGGTACCCACTTCTGCTCCGACCCATGGACCGCACATTGAAAAAGGCAAAACGACGCTTCGGACAATTAACGAGCACAGCAATTTTTTTTGCGGCAATTAGTAGCCAAAACGAACATATGTCCAAGTGGTCAAACAAAACGCTGAAGTAAGTCACAACGACATATTATTACCATCACAATTATAACATTGTAAAAATGTTTTTGCTTGCATTGTTTGCGACGTCAGAGAATCGCCGACAAATAACTGGCGAACGCCTTTGCCGTCATGTGGTCAGCATCAAGTAATGTAAAGGATGAGAGGCGAGTGGGGAACAAAATTACTGCACAGTGACGGCGAGATACGGGGAGTGAACGACGCGTTGCGAATATCACGGAACGTGCACAGCCCCTTTGGCCGATCCACTGCTGGATGAGGGCATCTCTAATGCCGTTGCGGGTGGGGGGAGCGTTGAGGGGGGCTTTGCCGACTGTATTTCACCACGCTGGTCCAGTGAGGGTTTGGCGAAGGCGTTGGGCGCACGCAAGTGGAGTACAACGATGGATGTTGCGCCGAGGAGATGACCACGGCGAGGAGAGCAGGTGTTCCCTTCAAGCGGCGGAGTTTTGGACATTTTCCGCGAAATGTAAACTCAATCTTGATTTGAAGCTTTCGTGACTGCAGGAATCCACACTCTTTGGCTCTTTCGGCAAAGTCGCGCGGGTAGAAAATAAAATAAATCACGACGTTTCGATCGCAACACAAGCGGTCGTCCTCAGGCGGAAAGAATAGAAAAAAATATAATCCTGCAGTTCCACTGGTTCAGCAGTTCCACTGCTGGATTATATATTTTTTATATTTTTTCCGCCAGAGGACGACCGGCTTGTGTTGCGATCGAAACGTCGTGATTTATTTTATTTTATACCTACGTGACTTTACCGAAAGAATCAAACAGTATGAAATGTAAATTGTTACCGGGCGCGCAACTCGTACTGAAGAGACATTTAGGAACTGCCTTATGGAGGACATTCACCTCGGGAGATGGGAAACTGGTGATCAGCTCATGTGCCGCATAAGTACGGGCAAAAATGCGACCCCCTACCCATCACTGTGTCTCCAAATAAAAAAAAATATATTTTTTACACATCCCAGCAGCCGCACGGCCTTCTCGGTGTGCTTAACTTCAGCAGCCTCCATTCAACAAAGCAAACTCTGCATTGGTTTTGACATTCAGTGTCTCATCAGCAGCAGTCTGCCTTGCTTGAAGCATTGCTGGTGAACTCCCGGATGTTTAGAGGTAACGATCCTCTCCGCTCGATAGGGGTCCAAGTACAGCAGCTCGATGCAATGTTGCATCGCAAAGCCATGAGAGATAGCGACGCGTTGTGATAGGCCATCATCTAGCAGTGGATAGATCACGGCTGACGATAATCAGGCTTAATTGTAAGATGGTATATGGCGCTTCCCATCGAGCCAATCACAACCCTCACTGATCTCTTTACGGGGGTGACTGATAATGAATTTTATATCCGTGGTGGTTCAGACAACATTTTCGCAAGCGATGTTACTCTGCTGTCAGCAGTTTACAGCGATGCAATGAACTTTAGTCGGCAACGGATACGCGCAGTATTTATATTATTTATGGCTATAAAAGATAAAGGCGCATCCCTGCAATTTCTGGCTCACGCCACTGCCGGAATAATGGCCTGCACCAGATCTCGCTGCTGAGAGGGCCTCTCGTAACAGGGTATTTGGCCTACTCATCCACGATGGCCAGACGTCTTCGCAGATGTCAGAGTTACCACACTTTACCCCACCACCGCCGCACGCAACTTGCAGATGGACTAACCGTGGTGCCCCCAATAATACCGCTGGGTGGGACAGAGGCGGGTGGCTTCAGGAAACGTGCCCCCACTGTTGGCTTTTGCAGGCCCGTGATGTCGTGTGTGACGTGGCCAAACCACCGCGGCTTTATTCTTTTTACTGCTGCCAGTAAGAAGGGCATATGCTCGGGAGCTTTCCTTGTTTTTTTTGCAGTGCGCCACGAAGGGCGTCCGCAAAACATCCACCAAAAACGCCGCGGGTCAAACGCTTGCACGCAGACGATCACAGCCAAACGCGGAGGCCACCCGGTGCAGCTGAGCCACAGGCCCAGCCGGCCCAAGCAGGGCTGCCCAGAGGCGGGCCTCGGAGCCTCCTAATCCACCGGCGACAAAAAAAACCTGACTCGTCGTCGGTGGCCCTTCTTTCGTGCGAGGGGCAGACCGCCCATTTCCACCCGCGCCTCCCCCCTTCCAGCCCCCCCCCCCCATCCCCTCCCCGCTGAACCCCAGCCGCCCTGACCGCCGAGCACCAGCGGGAGGTGGCGAGGTCGTGCCTAAAGCGCGAGCAGCGTGGGAGAGCTGAGCGACTCGGAGGACGACTGCTCGCCGCCGCTGCTGCTGCGGCGGTGGGCGGTGGCGCACGTGGCGCCCTCTCCCGCCGCGCAGCCCCCGTCCGCCGAGGCCCCCGCCGAGCACGGGCGCGGACCCGGGAACCCCACCGGGGCGGCCGTGCCCGCGGCCGGGTAGGTGAACACGCTGGCCGGCGGCCCGTTGCCGGCGCCCGCCAGGAGCGACGGCGTGGTGCTCACGAGGGGCGTGTTCAGCGGCTCCTCCGACTCGGCCGCGTCTCTCGCCGAGATGGCGATCATGGGAACCGGCCGCGGGCGGCCGCGTGCGGCCTTCGCTCCCGCGTGAGTCTGAGCTCGTAAGCTGCTGCCGGTGCCGTACCCGCCCGGTTGAGTCCGCAAGCCCGGCGTGGGCCGAACGAGGCCTCTCGGCGAGGCGCGCGAACACTGCGCAACTTCGCCAGCCGCTTTACTTTTGCCGTCGAGGCTGTCGCCTCCGATGCCGAGGTGGTGGTGGTGGTGGTGGTGGACGTCAGCGACGGAGATTCCGGCAACGCGTCCCCCGCCGCAGTCGCCGTCGCTGCCGTCGCCGCTGTCGTCGCTCTTGAGGTTGATGTGGCCGGGCCCCCGTCCGGCGTCGTGGGGTTTCGCCTGGGACGGCGGTCGCTCGGGCGACACCTTGCACGTGTGTTCGTGAGCGTCCAGCACGAACTGCAGTCGCTCCTTCTCCTTCCTCAGCTCCGCGATCTTTATCTGCAGCTCCGACCTCTCGTCCTCCAGTTTGTCCGTCTCCTGCAAATGGAAACACTTTTTGGGTTTTCAGAACGATACGCCCGGTGTCTCGCGGAGTTTGCCGGAATGTCGGCCGGCGTCTCATCGCACGTCGGCTGCCCTCCCTGCTAAGCCGTTGGTGGAAATGCCGCAATCACATTCGTGTGTGCGTCCGTGCACGCGCGTAGCGTCATTGGCGTGTCATCCCCGGTTTGTTTCAGCAATTAGATATTTCCCGTGACCTTGCCTTGACCGCTCGCCCCGACCCCACCGCCTCTCCGTGCCAAATGAAAGCCGTTGCTGCGCGTGCGTGTGTGCGCGCACGGGCGATTGACAGCGGCCGCGTGGTTATTAGCGAAATCCCGAGTTCAATTCCCGCTCACGGCCAGCCTCAGCGGAGAATATCTGAACCCCTTCGTTGGACCTTCCCCTGCGTCGAATCGGCGCGCAAACGTCGGCGCTGGGGGAGACGAAGGCGGGACTGGGCGCGGTGCTGTTGACACCGCGCGCCGTCAGGAGCCGTGCCGGGCACTCCGTAGGCGCTCGCGAACAGCGGTTGCACTAACGGCGTGTGCAGGCTATGCGGGGGGGGGGTGGGGGGGGTGATCTTTTGTCTCCGTGGGCGTACCGCCTGTAGCCTGTCGGTGAGTTCGCGCCGCCGGTTCCGGCATCGCGCGGCCGCCACCTTGTTGCGCTCCCTCCTCTGCCGCCGTCTGTCCATCTCCTCCGGGCTCAACTGCCACAAACACCGGCACACACACGGGGCGGGGGGGTGGGGTGGTGGTGGTAAGCGAATGAATGAATCGATCGACGCTCACTCGCACCCCTTCGCTCAACAATGGTGACGATTTGCATTCGACCGCATCTCATCTGAAGACATTTTTGAAAAGGCACTACCCTGCCGAACCCCCCCCCCCCCCATCGAGTGGCAGCTGTCCCCCGTGCGGCACACGTGGTGACTCGGCATCTGGCCTGCAAGAGGGCATTTTAAGTCTGCCAAGCGAGCGGCTCGCGAATCGCAAAGGTCGCGAGTTCAAATCCTGGTTGGCGGTTGCCTCAGCCCATCATCCCTCCGTGGTCGATAAAATGGGTACCACATTGCGGGGGGAATCAACAGAGGTCGTCCGACAGGTGGACTTGCCTCCGCCAAAGGAAAGCGTACACATAGAAATTCTGAGATACGTCCAATTACCTATGGGACGTATCACAGTGCCCACAGTATCACGGCCTAATTATTGTATCGCGCAACTCCATATATTTTTGGGAACCCCTCAAAATCCGAGGTCCCGAGAGCCCCTCCGTTAAATCAGACCCTGGTTGCAGTTGCACAGCCTGCGTACCCGAAAGCTATGTCGAAGGAGGGAGGGGGGGGAGAAGCTACTTCAGGTTTCCCGTGCAACTCGCCGGTGTTACTGTAGTGTCAGCAGCATAGGTGTGGATCGCTGAGGTCGGCATAAAGGCACTGCCCTCTGAGTCACAGACACCTCTATTGTGTTACATGCGGTAAGATGGCACGTGCCCAGACAAAATATCCAACACATATACTGCACTGTACACTCTGTGCATTACGCTTGGCGGATTTTCACAGATTCTAGGACGTACTCTGGAGAATAATGTGTGGATTTGGCGAGACATTTTGCAGGAGATAATGAATCATGCACACTGTTTTAAAATTGGGAGAGAGATGTCTCGTGGAAGATTATCAATGTACCGCCGGCTGTGTTCTGTCTGCTGGGTCGGAAAGTGGAAATGTATTGCTATGGAGAAGCACCTTCCGGAGGATGGCACTGAAGCACAACCAGACTCCATAATGAAGCCTGTATTATAATACTGGTCGCGAAAAGCCTACGTGTTAAACTAACCAGACTCCAACCCATCTTGTGGAACTCCGCGTGTTCTTTAGGTGATAAACACACACCCCCAACTTTAGTTTTAAAATATAGGGAAACATCTAATCTAGAGCATAAGGAAACAGTGATATCATCATCATTAGACCTCCATTGCCAGTACCAAAATGTAATAGGGTTTTTCCCCTTTTTTCTGGCAACAAAACTGAAACCTTTTTACAAGGATTCATGTCTGCATTAACCACAATACCTGCAGTTAAAATGCAAACAAAAAACATACTATGATAATATATGCATTGTCCTTGAAACTGATTGGTCCACACCAAGGGACGGCTTTCTTTTGAGCCTCGACCCAATTGGTGCTCGACCAGAGGACGCCAAAAGGCGTACAGCCTTTTGGTAGAGCGGGCGGATTGCGTATGGAAGGTTTGCGGAGTCCAAATCCTGGTTTGGGGTTGACTCAACATATCATCATCAACTTATCATTCATCATCATCAATCTATCATCGTCAACTTATCATTCATCATCATCAGCAACCTATCATCATCAACGTATCATTCATCATCATCAACCTATCATCATCAACTTATCATGATCAACTCTGGTCGAGCACCAATTGGGTCGAGGCTCAAAAGAAAGCCGTCCCTTGGTGTGGACCAATCAGTTTCAAGGACAATGCATATATTATCATAGTATGTTTTTTGTTTGCATTTTGACTGCAGGTATTGTGGTTAATGCAGACATGAATCCTCGTAAAAAAAGGTTTCATTTTTGTTGCCAGAAAAAAGGGGAAAAACCCCATTATTACTATTGGGAGCCGCCAATATTTGAACTTAGAATTTCAGTGGCACTTGCTCAACACTTACATCTAAGCCACCCTGCTACCATAAATATATCTAATTTACACGTAAAAAAATAAAATAAAAAACTCATCGCATTTGTCACATTCGTCGTTAATACTGCTTTATAACAGAAACATATATAATGATATTAATGCTGTGCATCGGCCCTCATTTGTGATTAACACTGCCTTCTGTTATTCGGCAGTGTTAATTGTAAATGTCGCAAGTTATTTTTTAAAATTTGCACTCGTCCACCACCGCTAAACGTAGCCATTGTGATGATTATTTTCCTTCGTTTCGGTTACCCTTTACAAATATCTGTGAAAAGTGCCGCAAATGAGAAAATATTACGGCTGGCACGACAATTATATCAGACGGCACAATCGGCAAACCGTGCTCGGCTGCCCCTTTGTCTTCCGAGCACTATGCTGACGACAGACACGTCGGGGTAACGATTCCATCCCGATTGGAACCTCGTGGAGGCCCAGAACAGAGTTCGTTCCAACTCATGGGCTGTGTCACAGACGTCCAGCATAGCCACCGTCGCTTGGCGGGACGAACGCCCGCGATGGCTACGCACGTGGCTGCCCGTAGCCCAGCACTGCGTAGGCAGCGAGGGGTTGGTAGATCACCGCGCGAATCTTGTGAAACTCCCCCTTTGCCCGTGGACTTTCGAGAAGGTCGCCATACCCCCACGTCTCGCCAGGAGAAGGCGGCATGGCACGGTGAACCGATCGCCATGTCTTTACATCTTCGTAGGGGGGGGGGGGTTAGCATTGCCCCAACTCCGGGTTGCCTCGTGGTGCTCCGGGTTTTCCTCCCACACGTATAATAAAACATTTAGACTTAAAGCTTTCGTGACTGCAGGAGTTCATGTTCTTGGTTCTTTCGGTAAAGTCACGTAGAAAAAGAAAAAGGTTAAAATAAAATTGTAAGTAATAAATTAAATTATAATTAATAATTTTAATAATATCATAAAACACTCACTAATTGGCCGAAAACGTCTTCACATAAAGACCCCAATGCAGGCAGGGCCCTACTGAAACAAACAAAAAACAAGAGTCCACTGTGGCTTTCCTGGATAAGTAAGTAAATTATTATGATTACAAAAGAGAGCGGCGAGACTTTTATATTCACGCCAATACAAAATAGAAATCAAGGAACGTCGACCGAGAGTGAAGTGGTCATGTTGTCTTGTAAGTTGATCTTCAGGAGAGGAGAGTGGATGATGGGGGGGGGGGGAGGTTTAGTTACGCTTCAAAGGTGCTCAGTAACCAAAACCTGCACACACACACACGCATGTGCTTAGCCGTTCGCCGTGCTAGATGAGAATAGGCTGAGGCTTGAGAGGAAGTGGTAAATCAACACGGAGGTGAGTCACAGAGGCAGCTCGCCGAGAGAGGGCTCGCTCACGGGGCAGTTGGGGGGAGCCATTGAGAAGTGTGCAAAGCGGTTCAACCGCACCAGGATCCAGGGGCTGGGTCGGTGGAGGGGTGCGGGGGCAGCTGGGCTGGGCAGGCTAACGAAGAGGGCGTGGTGGAAGTTGAATCAGAATCTGAATCTTTATTTAAGGCCGGAGGAATCCGATGAGCTGTGAAGCTCTTCTTGGGGCAGTGAGGTGGCGAGATGTTACTGCCTCGTCTGGTGTTAGCACGGTTGGCTACCTACGGTGTGAAAAAAGTGCAAAATACACACGTGCATTCATGGAGGAGGTTGTGGCTTGGATCCCTATCCTGACCCCTGTGGATTTTTCTCTGGGTCCTCTGGACCATCAACGGTTGCCAAATCTAGCCCCCCTCAATAAAGCCGCCCCCCGCCCCCCCCCGACAGGGAAGCCTTGGCCTACCTCATCAACCCCCACCCCTTCGCCCCCAGCGTGGCTTGCTGCTCTTCCAGAAATTCCTTAAATTGGGCGAGGCTTTTTTGTCCACACCCATCCATTTAGATTTATTCTTATTATTATTACTACTACTACAATTTATTGCCTCTTGTTTAACCGCCTGCGGTTATTAAAGATTCCTATGACAGTACTAAGACGAGAATCCAGTACTTTCATTAAAAAAAATCCTGGCGAGTGGCACTGTGGTCAGAACGCAGATGCCCACAATCTGAGCGTTGCGAGTTCAAATCCTCGCAAGGCGATGACTCAGCCCATCAGGCATCTGTGGTTAATAAATTGAGCACCTCGTGTGAGAAAATGTAATACAGCAGTTGCCCTGTGGAAATCTGGCCCCTGTCACGGACAGTGCTCAAGAAAACACACGAATTAATAATGTGTGTCTTGTTCAACCAGATAACTGACCCGTTAAGATAACCAATTTTAATCGACGAAGCGTTACACGCCTAATAAGAATGTTAATGCCGATTCATGGAATTCAGTATTTTTTTTTGAGATTTAAAAAAAATCTATCTTTTTACACGTCGCATTGGCCACGACGCGGTTTTCGAGGAGTGTACTTCTTCAGCAGCGTTGGCTTCATACACAATCGAACTCTGGACCAGTTTCGACACTCATCGTCTCATCAGCAGAGTCAGCCTCCCTTGAACTGATGCCGGTGATGTGCCAGGTGTTCATCGGCAAGGGCCCTCTCTGTTAGATATGGGTCTGCGTTCGACGCAAAACCAAGAGAGATATATATGTATCGCAAAATAATTGCCAGCGTCATTCTCTGAAAAGACGGCAGAATGTTTTTTTTTTTGTTTTAAAGCGCTCCGCTGGGCAGTGTTGGTAAGCTCTCGCCGATCCTGTCGCCTCTTTCCAATGTCCCCATGGCTCAGCTGTGGTCTCTCCTTGCCAATACCGGACTTGGGTTTTATTGTAGTCTGTGGCTGGACCCGGGATTGCTGATGTGGCTACATGAGGGGCGAAAAACACATTCCACATCTTTCTTGCTGCAGACGAGCGAATTCCTTTACTTAAGGCCCCGGCAGAAAAGAAAAAAAAACATCAAGCAGGATTTGGCAGTGGACTAAAAGCGTCAGGGCCTTCGACCAAATCACGTGGAACGCAGCACAATTTCATCAGATCTCAGAAGCTCAGCAGTGTTACGAACATAGGTAGTGCTTGGATGGGTGGCCGCCATGCGCAGCAGGTTGTACTGTACCGTACTGCTATGCTACCTAGCTTTATACCCCACAACCACGAACCGCACACCAAAATGACCAGCGTATCGGGGTACGGTCAGGCACACCCCAGGGAGCCGCGCGGCATGGTACGTGCGGTTGCCACCTTTTTCACAGATGTTAACGACCTCGCCTGGTATATAAGAGGTCGTGGGTTCGATTTCGACCTTGACGCCTGCGTGTTTTGAGTTTGCACGTTCTCCCCGTGGTCGCGTGGATTTCTCTCCGGGTCCCCCGGGTTTTCCCTCCACGTTCAGAATCAACGTGCATTTAGAGGATTTGGCTGCCATAAATTTCTACATGATAAGCCACTTCAGTGAGCTATCATTTGTAACCAGGTCGCTTCTGAAAAAGAGCTATAGAGCTCAGTGGGCCTTACCCGGTTTAAAAAAAAAACTTTCTCAGTCAGTACCAGTCTATCACAAATGTGCAGTAAACTGTAGCAAGGTTCAACACAATTGTATGTACGTATGTTCAACTTCATTTTCACCGTGCGCAGCCAACAGTGTTAATGGGAGGTGCAGGAGAAGGACAACAAACTAAACACAAAAATCGGTTCTAAAGAAATTAGTTCCAGCAGATATCCATACAAATCATTGCCTGCTACCCTGACACAAAAGCAATTCCCTGACTGTCCGGGCCCAACCTGGGCCAGTGCCACCAGTCCAGGTCAAACCCAGACAGGCGGAAACCCAAGTGGAGAGGCCCTCTCATCCAGCAGCAGTGCATTGATAAAGGGGCCGTACATGTCATGGCACTTTTTGAAACATGTGTTTCTCTTTTAAGACGTAAATAACTAAAGCGCTGCCGTAAGAATCCTGCCGAGCGGCACTGCAGTCAGAACACAAGGCCCCACAATCCGAGCATTCCAAGTTCAAATCCGAGTGGCAATGCGGTCAGAACACAAGGACCTACAATCCGAGCGTTCCAAGTTCAAATCTGAGTGGCACTGCGGTATCAGATCAAAAGGCCCCACAGTCCGAGCGTTCCAAGTTCAAATCTGAGTGGCACTGCGGTCAGAACACAAGGACCCACAATCCGAGCGTTCCAAGTTCAAATCCGAGTGGCACTGCGGTCAGAACACAAGGCCCCACAATCCGAGCGTTCCAAGTTCAAATCCGAGTGGCACTGCGGTCAGGACACAAGGACCTACAATCCGAGCGTTCCAAGTTCAAATCTGAGTGGCACTGCGGTATCAGATCAAAAGGCCCCACAGTCCGAGCGTTCCAAGTTCAAATCCGAGTGGCACTGCGGTCAGAACACAAGGCCCCACAATCCGAGCGTTCCAAGTTCAAATCCGAGTGGCACTGCGGTCAGGACACAAGGACCTACAATCCGAGCGTTCCAAGTTCAAATCTGAGTGGCACTGCGGTATCAGATCAAAAGGCCCCACAGTCCGAGCGTTCCAAGTTCAAATCTGAGTGGCACTGCGGTATCAGATCAAAAGGCCCCACAGTCCGAGCGTTCCAAGTTCAAATCTGAGTGGCACTGCGGTCAGAACACAAGGACCTACAATCCGAGCGTTCCAAAATTTAAATCCCTGCTATGGGGTGATTCGGCCCATCAGGCATCCACGTTTCATGCAAATGAGTGCCACTGTGTGAGAAAATCAAAACAGTGATTGCCCTGCGGAACACTGACTCCCACCACGTGAATGTGGAATTTACATGGCCGACTCAGGGCTTCCCATTTGAGATGAATACCGTTCTTCAGTCATTTTGCTAGTTACGTGCGTATGTAGGGCACCAGCCCTGCGGTCAATTATGAGAGTAACTGTACAGCTTGTAACGAATCAAAATGCAATTGCAATTTAAGCTGCCTCACTGCCGTTAACCCCAGGTCTGGATGCCGACATCATTTTACAAGTGGTGTGTTAAGTGAGGTTGCGATGGGGGAGGGGGTGGCGGGAGGGGGGTGCTGTGGGGGGCAAGGGGGTCTGCTGAGAAGAGGCTGGGGGGGGGGGGGGGTTCAGACGAGAGCTGAACAATTTGTGGAAAATATCTAATTGCGATTTTTCTGACAGATATTGCGATTTGATTTGCGATTACATTTTTTAAAGTCAAGCTTCAGTTCAATATTCACTCTGTAATAGATTTAAAACATGTGATGGAGCATTGCCACATGATACCATCACAATATGAACTGCTCTATATATTCTAATGCAAGGATGAGAACTTAAAAGACATGAATTGCTTCCAACATGTATTTATTAAAAATTTGATAGAAATAAATCAAACATAGAACAATTGTTAAGTACAAAAATCGCAGCCTTTGCGATTTCCTAATCGCATTGTTTCAAATTGCGATTTCGATTTGAAATCGATCAGACCACACGTAAGATATTAAGGAGGAAAAACGCAGCTGCTCTGGTGTGGAGGAGCTGTAACCGAGGGAATCGGACACCATCACCTTTGTTTAACACGTCCAGTCCAATAATAGAGGTTTTCCCCCTTTTGTCTGGCAACAAGACCGAAACCTTTTTACGATGATTCATGTCTGCATTAACCACAATACCTGCAGTCAAAATGCAAACAAAACCCATACTCATTACTTTGATAGTGCATTGTCTTTGAGCTGTGTGACGCCTTTTGGCGTCATCTGGTCCAGCACCAATTGCGTCGAGGCTGAAAAGAAAGCCGTCTCTGGTGTGGACCAATCAGTTTCAAGGACAATGCATCATATATTATCATAGTATGTTTTTTGTTTGCATTTTGACTGCAGGTATTGTGGTTAATGCAGACGTGAATCCTTGTAAAAAGGTTTCAATTTTGTTGCCAGAAAAAAAGGGAAAAACCCTATCATTACATTTTGGTACTGGCAAAGGAGGTCTAATGACGTCAAGGCTTGTACGTATGTATGTCGAACTTCTTTTGCGCCGTACGTATGCAACCGTGCCAATCGGAGGTGCGGGGGGGATGGACAACAAACTAAACATAAAGTGTGTTGAACTTCTTTCACACCGTATGTCGCCAAACGTGCTAGTCGGACGTTGCGGAGGAAGGAGAACAAACGAAACACAAAAAGCAGGTCTAAATGTGCCTCCCAGGACACCAACGTGTGTGTTACGGACAAGACACACACACACGTGCACGCTCACACCCACTCACCATTTCGTCCTTGACTCTTCGCCCCACCATGCGTATGACCCCGGCTCTCGACTGAGCGACGGACGACATCCCAGCGGGTAGCGTATAGGATGGTGGCGCGAGGTGGCAGGGCGCGGGCGCGGATGGGCAGCGGGGCCGGTGGGCAGGGCATGGGGGCATCGCGTGCAGGCCGTGGTAGCCCCCACGGGCCAGGTAATCGGCTCGGGCCTCCTGGTGAGGCCAGGGGAGGCGGTCGCGAGGGCAGCTGCCGACGGCGAGCATCTCCGACACGAAGTCCTGCACGGCGAGAGAGAGAGGAGAGGGAGAAGTGGCGGGGTCGGCGTTACGCCTCGCTGGAGAAACCGGTTGCGCAAGAGGGTCGCAACCGGAAACATCGACCCGTCACTCATGGCTCAGTCGTGGACCATTGCAAAAGAAAGGAGTCAATGCGCTCTCGATGCGTTGGGTGGTCCCGAACAAGCGGTGGGAATTCCACATTCCTATGGCCAGGACCTTCCTTTACAGCACTCAAGACTTGTCAGAAAGAGGTACTAATTTTAGCAGTGTTACCTTCATAGACAGAAGCCGGGAAGTCATATTCATGTCAGTGTCGTCCTGACTTCCTGTCCTGATTTGTATGTTCCGAAGATGCTTGCCGCAGTTTTCAGCGAAACGCCGTAGCTCACTGCTAAATTTGGTGGCAAGGATCATTCTTCAACCTGTTGTTGAGCTGTAGCAAGAGTAATCGGTGCATTAAGACACTCGTCTATTGATCATTCCCATATTTCACGCACAAATTTGGATAGAAAGTAGTTCACGAAGCTGCCCAAAGTGTTTGGAAAAACCCTAGCTTCATCTCCATTCTGCCATCTCTGTCCTCATTTAAACAGACTCTCATTAAACAATAATTCAAATGTATAATGCGCATTCCATCCTAGGATCCCAAAACTAAAGAGGGAAGGCCACTTTAAAGAAATGGGTTTCAAATAAGACTTTAATCTATCTACCGACTCTGATTGGCTGATTTCAAGCAGCAAGGCGTTCCATATTTGGGTGTCACGCTAAATGATTTAATTTAACAACATAATTGCTCTCGACTTAAAGCTTTCGTGACTGCAGGAATTCATATTCTTTGGGTCTTTCTGTTTATAAACTGTTTATAAACAGTTTGCCTTTAGAGGCTAACCCCTCTTTTTTTCGCCACCTGATGACGACCGCTTGTGTTGCGATCGAAACGCCGTCATTTTTTTGTAAAAAAAAATGTTTTTAACCTATCTCCGTGCCTTTACCGAAAGACCAACAGAATATAATTGCTCTCATTAAGTTTGTTTAAAAAACTTAAAATCTGTAACTGCGGAATACTTTGACGTTGTCTGCCTACTGAGAGACGCCACTGAGAAAAGAGCCTCTCGGCTTAGTGGGCTTTGCTTGGTGGGAGAGGGGGGGGAGAAAGTCTGATTCTGATTCAGTACGAGTAACAATTAAACTGTGTTTGGCTGCGCACGGGTGCTGTGACATAACGTTGGCCGCATCACTCCGTGGCCTAACAGACAAAGTAAATTAACGTGTCAATCACACGGAAACTAATTAAGTCATAGAGGGTCTTGCGCCTAGAAAATATTACATCATATAATCACCGCACTGTCTTGTCAATTGTGCCAAAACGCCGTTCGGCAAACACTGAGCAAACATTTGATATTCGTTTACTCATAAGTTTTACAGTACTGCAATAACTGAGGTTGTTACTTCATAAATGTGTTGTCAGGAAATACAACTTTGAAGTTTGCCTTTAGAGGCTAACCCTTTATTTTTTTCTCCACCTGATGATGACCGCTTGTGTTGCGATCGAAACGTCGATACGACCGTAAAGACGTTTAGCAAAACGGGGGAAAAAAAACTATTCTCGCGTGAGTTTTACGTTGCAATCGGCTCAGCGGTAGAGCAAGAGGCTTACAATCAGAAAGGTCTTGAGTTCAACGCCTGTTTGGGGTCGACTCAACCCATTAAAAACTAAAACCTTTTTTTTTTCTTGGGTCTTTCGGTAAAGTCACGTAGATAGGTTCTTTGAATCTAAAGTAGATAGGTTATTTGAACCTAAAGTCACGTAGAGAGGTTCTTTGAACCTAAAGTCACGTAGAGAGGTTCTTTGAACCTAAAGTAGATAGGTTCTTTGAACCTAAAGTCACGTAGAGAGGTTCTTTGAACCTAAAGTAGATAGGTTCTTTGAACCTAAAGTAGATAGGATATTTAAACCTAAAGTATATAGGTTCTTTGAACCTAAAGTCACGTAGAGAGGTTCTTTGAACCTAAAGTAGATAGGTTCTTTGAACCTAAAGTAGATAGGATATTTAAATCTAAAGTATATAGGTTCTTTGAACCTAAAGTAGATAGGTTCTTTGAACCTAAAGTATATAGGATATTTAAACCTAAAGTAGATAGGTTCTTTGAACCTAAAGTATATAGGATATTTAAACCTAAAGTAGATAGGTTCTTTGAACCTAAAGTAGATAGGTTCTTTGAACCTAAAGTCACCTAGAGAGGTTATTTGAACCTAAAGTCACCTAGAGAGATGATTTTAACCTAAAGTCACCTAGAGAGGTGATTTGAACCTAAAGTCACCTAGAGAGGATATTTGAACCTAAAGTCACCTAGAGAGGTGATTTGAACCTAAAGTCACCTAGAGAGATTATTTGAACCTAAAGTCACCTAGAGAGATTATTTGAACCTAAAGTCACGTAGGCGGTGCCTGGATGGGCAGACGACCTACGCGCGACCGGTGGTCACGGGCAGCTGCGAGGCGGAAGGCAACGCGGGCAAAATCCATCGTCGTGCTGTGCCGTAACTTCCACGCTGCTACATTTGTACCCCACGGAGACCCGCACGGTGTGGCCCGCACGGCGTTCCGCGTACGGTTGCCACATTTTCCACAGACCATACCTATCGGGACACAGAATCTTCATTAAGACCGGAGGAATCCGATAAGCTCTGAAGCTCTTTTTTTTAACAGATGTCCAGCATGCTCAACTTGCAATCAAGAGCGTTGGTAGTTGATGGTGCAGGTTTCTTAAATCTCTCTCCCCTCCCCCTCCGCCCTCCCACCTGTCCACACAGCAGCGTGAATGGGTTCCCCCCCCACCTCAAATAAGCACGGTTGGCTACGTACGGTGTGAAAGAAGTTCAACATTGTACAAACACCGAAAGTTGATCGGGCGCATCATACGTACGCATGGTGGGGCGCGAAGCGAGGGTATGACCACCGCTTCCAACAAGTCTGGCCAGCGTGGAGGATTAGACCAAAGTACCCTCGAGAGGAGGCTCTCTGCAGGAGGGACTTCCGCTAGCAGTAGCGTGAGCAAGAAATTGCAGGGCTGCACCTCTGCCCTTTAAAATCTTAATCTTAGGCCACCTCCATCTCTAATCACGTGTGTACTGATTGATGTAGGTTGGAGAATATATACAGGGTGGTTCAAAAAAGATGTTAACGCTTCTTAAGATAATAAGGTTTTTCCCTTTTTTCTGGCAACAAAACTGAAACCTTTTTTACAAGGATTCATGTCTACATTAACCACAATACCTGCAGTCATAATGCAAACAAAAAAACATACTATGATAATATATGCATTGTCCTTGAAACTGATTGGTCCACACCAAGGGACGGCTTTCTTTTGAGTCTCGACCCAATTGGTGCTCGACCACATGACGCCAAAAGGCGTACGCCTTGACCCAATTGGTGCTCGACCAGATGGCGTTTTTTGGCGTCATCTGGTCGAGCACCAATAATGTGTGGCTTTGGCGAGACATTTTGCAGGAGATAATGAATCATGCAAACTGTTTTAAAATTGGGAGAGAGATGTCTCGTGGAAGATTATCAATGTACCGCCGGCTGTGTTCTGTCTGCTGGGTCGGAAAGTGGAAATGTATTGCTATGGAGACGCACCTTCCGGAGGATGGCACTGAAGCACAACCAGACTCCATAATGAAGCCTTTATTATGAATAATACTGGTCGCGAAAAGCCTACGTGCTAAATAAACCAGACTCCAATCCGTCTTGTGGAACTCCGCGTGTTCTTTAGGCGATAAACACACACCCCCAACTTTCGTTTTAAAATATAGGGAAACATGTAATCTAGAGCATAAGGAAACAGTGATATCATCATCATTAGACCTCCTTTGCCAGTACCAATATGTAATAGGGTTTTTCCCCTTTTTTTTCTGGCAACAAAACTGAAACCTTTTTGCAAGGATTCATGTCTGCATTAACCACAATACCTGCAGTCAAAATGCAAACAAAAAACATACTATGATAATATATGCATTGTCCTTGAAACTGATTGGTCCACACCAAGGGACGGCTTTCTTTTGAACCTCGACCCAATTGGTGCTCGACCAGAGGACGCCAAAAGGCGTACAGCCTTTTGGTAGAGCGGGCGGATTGCGTACGGAAGGTTTGCGGAGTCCAAATGCTGGATTGGGGTTGACTCAACCTATCATCATCAACTTATCATTCATCATCATCAACCTATCATCAACTTATCATCATCAACTTATAATTCATCATCATCATAATCAACTTATCATCATCAACTTATCATTATCATCATCAACCTATCATCAATGTATCATTCATCATCATCAACCTATCATCATCAACTTATCATCAACTTATAATTCATCATCATCAACCTATCATCATCAACTTATTATTCATCATCATCATCATCAACCTATCATCATCAATTTATCATTCATCATCATCAACCTATCATCATCACCCCTTCGAGGTTGGGTATTAAAACGAGCACCACTTTGTGCGGCAGTCAGCAGTGTTTGCCCTGTGGATAAGTTCAACCCCCGTCGTGGGAATGTGGAGTTTCCAGCGCTTGTCTCAGGGCTGTAAACGGTGGGCGGGCACCGCCTCAACGCTCACCTGAGCAGGAAATCATGTTCGACTTGACCGGGCGTTCATTTGAACGAAGCGCTCAAGTTAAATCGGGTTCGTCAGTGCAATGCGGAGCTTGGCAAATGGCAATTAACGAGAGCTACAGGTATAACACTATGTAACACTATGTAAGACTATGTAAGACTGTGTAACGCTATATAACGCTATGTAACGCTATGTAACACTGTGTGACGCTATGTAACACTGTGTAACACTTTGTAACACTATGTAACACTGTGTAACACTGTAACACTGTGTAACGCTATGCAACACTATGTAACACTATGTAACACAATTTTTGTCCCTGGGTAGTAAGTGTTATTTTATAATTGCTTACGCCTCAAAAGTAGAGAAAATGGCTATTATTCTCAACAAACTATGCTTTTGTGACCAGGGCTTTATGTGAAGGAATGACACAAATGCACACCACGTTTTATCATTGAAAATATGTACATTTCAAAATATCACTGTCCTGGTCACAAAAGCAAAGT